GCTACTGAATTTAAATATTAGCCATTTTATTCTCACTATACCCACACCAAAGTTAGTTTCACCTTTTAATCCAATTAAATAAAAATAGCTCACCCTTATGCCTTAATATTTTTCTTGTAAGACAAGTTTATGAATTAAAATCTATCTAGAGGTACCTGGGTGGCTCAGTCCGTTAGGTGTCCGACTTCAGCTCAGGTCATGATCTCATGATTCATTGAGTTTGAGCCTCACACTGGGCTCTGTGCTGACAGCTCAGAGCCTGGAACCTGCTTCAAATTCTGTGTCTCCCTCTCTCCCCCACTCATGCTCTGTCTCTCTCTCTCAGAAATAAGTAAGCATTAAAAAAATGTTTTTTAAGAATTAAAACCTATCTATCATGCACTGCTAAACTGCAAACTAAAACCTCTTTCTATCTAATCCAGCCAGGTGACTCTCCATGAAACAGCAAAAGCCCCTCTCAAATCAACCCACCTAATTCAAAGCACTTATGTCAGTAAATACAAAACAAAATCCACACAAAATAATTAGAACACAGTTAAATACTACTCCCATTATCCACTTACATACCAAAAAATTCAAAAGTAAGTCTTTTGAGAGAATACCTACACAATTAGTTATTTCCAATATTATAAGAGAAACAAACAGGCATACAAAGCTCACTTCAGGAAACTAGTGCTTTGATGGAAGGTACTTTGTTGAGAAAGCTGAACATTCTGATACAGTGTTCTCTTCTCCTCAGGCAAGTCTTCCTCTTGGTTTTACCCAGTTCTTCATGCCGCCACTACTAACGGCCATAGATGAACTCCTGCTCCTCCCAAATCCTTTCTGATAGTTTAGAATTTAGTTTTCCTTGATCTTTTCCAGAAAGACAGCGCTAGTTAAGTAGAAATCACCCTAGATGTCTTGATTCACCTCTTAAGTACGTCGCATACAGTTATGTACTAAATAAGAATTCAATGAAATTAAAATACAACAAAATCATGTTTAATCCAACTAAGTTTATCAATTCTTACTCAAAGCCTCTCTTCCAAGATTCAGTAATCTTCAGAGGAGTTGTACTTGGGTAGGACTTAATCTCTTTAAATTTGTCAGCACCCCATATACTATCAAGCACTCCATGGCAGGGACATCTAGGTGGCTCAGTAGGTTAAGTGTCCTGATTTCAACTCAGGTCATCATCTCACGATTTGTGGGTTCAAGCCCGACTTTGGGTCCTCTGCTCTCAGCCCAGCGCCTGCTTCAGATCCTGTCTCCTGCTCTCTGTCCCTTCCCACCTTGTGCTCTCTTTGTCAAAAATAAATACACATTAAAAAAAAAAAGTACTCCATGGCTGATTAAACATTTTCCTCAAAAGAATAAAGTTGCAAAATACATTTAATAATAAAGCAACATAAAAGGCTTGGAAAAGAGCCCATGTTCCCTTATTAATAGTCTACAATAAGGTAAACTTGTATAATTTTAATCAGTTCCAACATACCATTAGCCATTACAAAGCTTTAGGAGGGGTACTAAACTGATTTCATTCTTATTTTGATGAGTTCATTCAACGACTTGTACCATTAAACACAACAAGATTAGTAGCAAAATAAATTAATGGTATAATTAGAATAGTAATAATCAATTTCAACCTACACTTTTACTATGTATAGAGATTATCATAAATTTAGAGGAGATAGCAATCATCTGTCAAGATTCTATAACAATTTTCTCTTTCCTAATCAGAGGTGACATCAAAAATAACAATGTGTGGGGCACCTGGGTGTCTCAGTCAGTTAAGTGTCTAACTTTGGCTCAGGTCATAACCTCATGGCTCATGAGTTCAAGCCCCACATCAGGCTCTGTGCTGACAGCTCAGAGCCTGGAGCCTGCTTCGGATTCTGTGTCTCCCTCTCTTTCTCTGCCCCTCACCCACTTACTCTCTCTCAAAATAAATAAAACATTTTAAAAAACTATAAAATAAAAATGTGCATATTTGCTGAACTTAGATTCTGTGTTAAGAAACTATCAAGAGTTGCTTTCTTTTCCATATTCATCAGTTAATTTGAAAGTTCCACTTCCTGTTTGTCAGTCATAAATCATTCTCTTCATTTATCCAAATAATGCCAAATTATTACTGCTTCTCCTTTTCTTTGTGGTCCTTTACCTTCTATTTTAGTTTGTTTTATTTAAGTATGGCTCTTCCCTAATTCAGAGTCACACCACCATATGCAATCCTCTCCATGGACTGACTCCCTCTAGTCTTTCTTTGATTTTTCTTCTGCACACTGCTTCCAGATTAAGCCCCTTAAATACTATTTTTTAAAATACAAATACTTTTTTTTAAGTTTATTTATTTTGAGAGAAAGAATGCTCACAGAAGCACACATGTGCACATGGGGGAGGGGCAGGGTGGGCTCCACACTGTCCGTGCAGAGCCTGCTGAAGGGCTCAATCTCACAAACTGGGAAATAACGACCTGAGCTGAAACCAAGAGTAGGAAGCTTAACTGGCTGAGCCACCGAGGCACCCCTAAAATACTATTTTTAAAATCTAGTTACCATGCTGGCTCAAAACTTACAAAACATATACCAAATGTAACTCCTATGGTTTTGTATTCAATTCCTTCTACCAAACTAGTTTTCTCATACTACCTTTGTCTTCAGAGATCACATTTTATGCTCTTTTCTCCAGGTTATCTTACCCTGTCTCTCAAAGTCCTTTGTATTCTTGCCACTAGGAATCAGCTCGGCAGAGCTTAAAGAAAGACAGTTCTGCAACTTATGGCATCACTTTGCCTAAGTTAGCTAACATATCTACCTTTCAAGGTACCATAAAGATTAAATAGGATAAAGTTTTGGAAGTGTAACTCAAACATAAGAGGCATTGAATAAATGCTGATTTCCTGTATCCCCTTTCAAAACTGTATCTATCCATCAAAACTTATGTTTGTTAAGTAACCAACTGCCACTTTTTAAGTCAGGATAAGAGTTTGTTTTAACATCCCAAAAAAGGCAAGGTGATGAAAATTTCATGTGGACTAATATATTTCCAATAGATGGCACTTATCTGCATGATTGCATTAAGATACATTTACTTTTAGAAAAGTCTTTAGTGCTTGAATTCAGGAATATTAGCATGTGGATATTTTCTATGCTAAAAATGTAGAAAATAATGGTTTAGAAGGAACAAGATGTTCAACAAGACTTTCCTATTCATTGCATTTTTAAGAAACTGCAACTGTAGACATTTATTTTGGCCAAACTAAGGTCTAAAAGAAGTAATGTTTTGAATAAATTGAGAAATAGCATCATTTTCTTCAAGATCTGCCAAAAATAATAACTGATACATAATATTCTGCTACTGTCAGAATCATGGTCTTTGGAAGTGAAAGGGATCTTCAAAACACATTATACAGCTGAAGCTCCTGGGTGGCTCAGTCGGTTAAGTGTCTGACTTCAGCCCAGGTCATGATCTCACAGTTGGTGGGTTTGAGCCCCGCGTCAGGCTCTGTGCTGACAGCTCGGAGCCTGGAGCCTGCTTCAGATTCTGTGTCTCCCTCTCTCTGACCCTCCCCTGCTCACACTGTCTCTCTCAGAAATAAATTTTTTAAAAAATGAAAAAAAAAAACAACAACAGCATTATACAGCTAACCCCTGAATGCAGGGGTTAGGGCATGGACCCTATACAAACATCTACTATGTATAACTTTTGATTTCCCCAAAACTTAATTACTAATAGCTTACTGTTGACTGGAAGCCTCACCAATAACATAAACAGTCAATTAATACATACTTTGTATATTATATGTATTCTTACAGTAAAATAAGCTAAAAAATTATATTAAGAAAATCGTAAGGGGGGCGGGGGCGCATGGATGGCTTAATCTATAGAGCATATGACTCTTGATCTCAGGGTTGTGAGTTCAAGCCCCATGTTGGATGTACAGATTACTTAAAAATAAAATCAGGAAGGATGGAAGGACGGAAGGAAGAAAGGAAGGAAATCATAAGGAAGGGAAAACATGCTTATACTACCATACTGTATTTCTCAAATAAACCTGCAAAAAAGTGGACCCACAGAGTTCAAACCTGTGTTGCTCAAGGGTCAACTGTATGCTCATTTTACCAAAGATAAAAATCATTGCCAAAGGCTATACATGATGAGTAAAGTAAAAAAAGTTATTCAAAGTCAGGTACTCCAAGTCGACAACGGTTTTAACTCACTCACCCAAGTAAACAAGCTACAGATATAAATTCTGAAAAAGAGACTTTAGAGATGGCAAGTGTTGAGTTTCTATTACTGGTAAATAGTGATATTACTTATTAACAAAATGGTGTAGCAGGATTTAAACTTCTATATATACATATGTATATATATGTATGTATATGTATATATATGTATATATGTATATGTATATATAGAAGTATAAATACATATATACATATATACACACACACACACACACACACACACACACACACACACACACACACACACACACACACACACACACACACACACGACTGACCAGGGGTTCTCCTGCCTTCTTCAAAGACTAGCATTATTCACAGCACTAAGTTTGGTTCTAAGCTGAGCAGAAGGAACTCACCCAAGGAACCAAGGCAAAAGTAAGACGGAGGCCTCAGGAGCCTAGTCAGAAGCACCGTAACAATGCAAGTCCCTGAGCATTTGTAGGGACCTGAGAAAAAGAAAGAAGTTTTTCTACAAGGAACAAGGATCTTGTCAAAAGACAACCCTCAGTTGTCAGCTGCATCTAGGCTGCAGTGGGAAGTGCTATTCTACCCATAAAGCACCTGGAGTTACTATCAGGACTTCCAGAAAGTAATCAAATACTTAGTGTGTCTTTGCCAGCGTCATCATTTTCAGTTGTAACAGAAAAACTTTGCTGTTTATTCTAATTACAAAATCATTATATTCTCACTTTAAAAATTAGATAATAAAGAAAGGGAGAGGGGCACCTGGGTGACTTGGTCGGTTAAGTGTCTGACTCTTGATTTCAGCTCAGGTCATGATCCCTGGTTTCATGAGATCGACCCCCACATCGCGCTCTGTCCTGACAGCGTGGAGCCTGCTTGGGATTCTCTCTCTTTCAAAATAAATAAATAAATTTTTAAAAATAAAATAAAAAAGAAAAGCAGGAAAGACAGTAAACTTCTCTTCTGATCTTTCTCTTCCTCCTTGATATATTATATACGCCTAATGTTAATGAACACTTGAAACAGTTACATATGCTTTATAAATACTAACACTTTTAGACCTAACAACTATCAACAGGGTATGTACTATTATCACCATTTTCCAGGTGAGAAAACAGATCCCGGAAAGACTAATTTACCCACGGTCATAAAAAGTGGCAGAGCCCACATAAAAAGCCCAGGCTGTCTGGCTCCAAAGCCTGCACTCTTCAACCCAGCATTGTGCTCTCTTTTTTATGTATGTTTTTCTCAACTTTCCCTATATATTAAAAACAACAACAACAACAACAACAACAATAAGGACAAAACACATAAATAGGTCCGTACTACATATGGTATATAATGTGGTTTTTTTGTTAAATTTCTACATCAATAAATCCACATCAGCCTCATCTTTCTAATGGCTATATAACATTTCACTACATGTGTAAGGTACCTTAACCAATCCCAAACCGATAAACATTAAACACTTCTAGTTTTTTTAAATCATATTCAATACTGTAATCAAACATCCCAAGGGGCGCCTGGGTGGCTCAGTTGGTTAAGCATCCGACTTCAGCTCAGGTCATGATCTCATGGTTTGTGGGCTGGAGCCCCGTGTCAGGCTCTGTGCTGTCAACTCAGAGCCTGGAGCCTGTTTCAGATTCTGTGTCTCCCTCTCTTTCTCTCTCCCCCACTTGTGCTCTGTCTCTCTCAAATGAATAAACATTTAAAAGTTTTTTTCAAATCCTTGTACATACATCTTTGTGCACTTTTTGGTTTATTTCCTTTAGGATATATTTCTTGAACTGGAATTGCTGGGTCAAAAAATGTGTACATTTCTAAGATTTTTGATACATACTGCCAAATTGGATTTTACAGAGACTATACTCCCACCAATAATATCTGTGCCAGCTATGAAGCTGCTGTCTCTCAATTACAAGCTCACCCTTACTCTGCTTTGTGGTGCTAGGCTGGGAATGCATATGTCATTTCTCCTCTGTAGGCTGCCTTCCCATTAGGCTCCACCAACAGAGAACACTAGAGGGAGACAAGAAGGTAAAGATGACAAAAGAATGGACTTGCTCCTTCCAAACACTTTCCTCTTCCTGCCAGTGTCACCCTAGCATGGGTCCTTTTTCCCAGCAGCAAAGTTGCTGCAGTCTTCAGCTTCCTGCAGAAGACTGATTTCTCTTAAAATCAGCTTCATCATGTTCCCTCAGAAGTACCAGCAGCAGTACAGCAAAGTATCCTCTTGGGAGGTTTGCATCCCAACCTTTGAGCGGGCCCTCTGTAAGATTTTAAAAGCAACACTTTGCAGTGAGACCGCCTCAAAGGTCTGAACCTCAGCTCCATGGGGCCCCTCCTCTAAACCTCTAGGTTATAAGAACCCAAATCTCTTTCTTTTGTTCCTCCAGCCCTAGCGGTGGTAGCTGCTTAAGGAAGTTATTACCTCTGTTGCTTCAACATCTGCTTTATCAATTCCCTGTACTACAGTCTCCCAGGGTTTCTGCTTTCCTTACTGTAACTTTACTGATATGTTATCTAATAGTGTAACAATTTGGCATATCTATCTTCAGGTCAGTGTTATGGACTGGACTGTATCCCCCCCAGAATTCATATGCTGAGGCCCAAATCCTTAATGTGGCTGTATTTGGAGATAGGGCCTTTAAGGAGTAATTAAGGTTAAGTGAGGTCACATGGGTGGGGCCCTAATCCTACAAGCCTAGTGTATCATAAGAGGTGGAAGAGACATGGGGGGGGGGGGCGCAGATGTCTGTACTCAGAGAAAAGGTCATGTGAAAGGCAAGAATGTGGCCATCTGCAAGACAAGGAGAGATAGCTCAGGAAAAACCAATTGTACTAGCATCTTGATCTTGGACTTCCAGCTTCCAGAAGTGTGAGAAAATAAATTCTTATTTTTTAGGCCATCCAGTCTATGGTATTCTGTTTGGGGAGCATTAGATGACTAAGTCAGCTCGTGAAATTGCCTCACGTTCTTCTCATCTTCAGTGTTTCCTCCACATACCATTATCCATACTATCTCTCATGCATAAGGACACAGAGTTAGATGCTAGAGAAAAAAGATACAACAAAACTGGTTCCATGCTGCTGGGTCTTAACAATCTAATTGTAAAAATAAAACATGCATTAAAAATACAGTACAATACAGAGTAGCACATGATAAGGAATCACAGTTCCTTTAACCACGGTTAAAGGTATATTCAAAATTATGCTTTGCTAAACCATAATAAGACTAAAAGATTCAGGAAAAAAGTAGGACCTGATTTTATTTTTTTAAGGACTATATAATGCTTTAATAGCCAAACCTTTTCTTTAGACATGAATTTAAGCAGTCTCACCAAACTGTGGAAAAGAATAAAAGCCAATTTTTTTCTCTGAAATCATGGACACATTTTTTGCACAGTCTAGATCCTCTACTTTATGAGCAGTCTTAAAACTAAGAACCCCAAATTTAAAGATCTCATGTTATCTTCTTTAATTCAAAATACAATAAATAAATTAGATCACTTCTATTCTAGGAATGTCTCCTTGCAATGCTGATCAACAGTTAAAAAGCAATACCTCTCTAAGCTGTCTTCAAGGTCCTTTAGGAAAATATCTCTCTTCCTGAAGAACAGATTTTTTTTAAGCAATGTAATAATTTCACGTAGTTACCAGTACCGTATCTTCTCCACACTATCCTAATATTGCCCAGAAACACATGTGCGTGCATGTACACACACATACCTAAGTCGATATTCATCAAATTAAAATTTTTCTTTCAGACTTAAATACATTTCATCTTCAATATTACCACCATAACAGTATAAATAAAGCCTTAAGTGTTTAACAAGTTTGAAGCCTGAGGACACTAGCTTTTCAAAAGAAAAGACAGGGTGGAGAACAGTGACGTAACGCTCAACAAGGAAAGCCCTGACAAGTGTAGACTGCACACACACAATAAGAGATCAGGAAAGCGAGGTTGAAGCAGCCAGTTTGGTTTCATGCTGCAAATTTTTGGCAGACATTCAATTCCTTCTGCTGTTTTCCTAGCCAGCACATTTATCTATGTAATGTCACCAGATCTAGGGAGGGAGTAAGGTTGAGAGGAGGGGGAAGAGGAGAAAAAAACTGTTTTACAGGCTGCCAGCCCCTCTGCACATGCTGTTACTATACAAAGGATGTCTAGAAAGCCAACGTGCTGCACAGATCCAAATGCTACAGGCAGGCGCGCGTGCGCGCGCACGCATGCACTCCACCCAAAGAACAACTGCAGAAAAAGGAAACTGCCTTTCGAAAGAAGAAAGCCTATAATTAAAGTCTTGATTCACAAGCAAAGCTCCCTTCTGAAGCTGATTTCAGTTCTTGGGAGAAAGGAGGAGGAGGGAAGGTATTCTAACCCTGTGAGGAAACAACCAGTATTCTGCAAAAAAGCCTGAGTTGGTCTGGTCCATGCCAACTACAAACATATGCTACTGCAGAAACAAACCAGTAACACTCCTAAGAAGCAAAAGCATCCTGTCAAGTAACAATTACCTTATGAATACCTGATGACACTTGCCACAATACTATAGGGAATAAAAATGAATTTTAGGGAACAGTTCAGATACCTCAGAAATATAAATCTTGACTATACGGAGGATACTTTGCTATTCTTAGCAGTCTTATGAGTGTGTATATACACCATAGTAATATTGAAACTGAAACTGGAACTGGAATATAAAAATAGAGATTAAAATTCATAGCTGGGAAACAGTCAAGACTAGTGGTTTCTATAAATGGACACTCCAATCCCATGACATATTATATAAGTTACTATTACCAAACGCAATACATGAAAATACAAACCCTGAGCATTTATTTAACCTGAAAAACTACTCAATCTATTCCAGTCTAAAAACCAAAAATGCTTTTCAAGATCAAAATGCTGCATCTCCAAAAATAGCATACAATCTGCCCCTAAGAATGTGTCATAAGAAACAAACAGGAAATATCGTGTGTTGAAATCAGGAGTTATAAATAACTTTGTTCTACACTAACATAGTTTATACACACAAAATATAGTCTTCCAAAATATAGTGCTTAGGACTTCCCTGAGATTAAACTAAACAATCAACTAATTAAGGAGACGGCTTGAAAGAAGGGCAAGTTCTCCTCTAGCCCTAGTTCTCCAACAAAGGGCAAGTAACTTAACCTGTCATGGTTCTTCATTAGTAAAATGACATGTCTCTCTCTAAAGTCTCTTCTGTTGTTAATATCTACAACTACAGGTATTTTAAGTACAAAACAGGGTTTCCTACTTTGAAGGAGCTCATAAATCTAGTTAAGGGTAGTCATAAATGAATTAGTAAACAATGTAACACCCTGACAGGTCCAGAGTAGTAACTTAACAGGTGTGTAGACTGCTCCAGGAGGCACTAAACTTAGAGTCCTGACGTTAAGGGCATTTAAAGAAGGAGAGCTGACGCTGTCATAACGTCAAAACAGAGCAGAGTTCTGCTGGGACTAGGAGATTCTTTAGGATTCAACTTTTTAACTTCATAAACCCCAACCAATTAATCCAAATTCCATGTAGTTATTATCTCATTTTCTTCATTCAACAGAATAAGGAAAACGATATTAAACATTAAGGCTTAAAAGATATTAAGCACTAACAACCTAAAACACAAACTTGCAATTGTTGTATTATACTTAGTCCAAACTACTCCTCAGCCCAGTATGAATGATTTATACAGGGCCTGAGAGACTGCTAAACTATTAGGTTGAGTTTGAACATGACAAACTTGATCCACAGATAGTAAATCACAAAGCCCCTCTCATTTGTATATATAACCTAAAGCTAACACTTTTAACTACAAAAATCTTAAAGCCTAATAAAAATAAAACAAGTCCCC